AGTCGTTGCATTCAGCAAGTATGCACCTACATTTTACACTACATTCTTATCACTTTATGGTAATGCATGCTCAGATCGGAATTATCTGTTTGAAAATTCCCAAGTGATTTTCCAGGGCTGTAGTGCAAAATATGACACATACTGTACCAACATTTCGCACTTATTTATGTATTCATTTTCAATAAATTATACGTGTAAGATGAGCGTCCCTTAAAGTGTACGTCCCGCCGATTATTACAGGCCATTGTTTCCGAAATTCTATTTTCTAGTCGATTGATCGTTGCATATTTTTAAACAAAGTAGTATGTTATGCTTATGGTGCTTTAAGCACGCGGGGGTTGTATAATTCAATTTTATCCCATTTGCCAAGACCCCATTCCGCAATAATGCACTTCAATGTATAAATCTAAAAATTTTACGACCGCAAATATGGTCACGTGAAAATAAACCCCCCTATTACTGTGCGTCACTCAATATTTATGTCATTTTATTTTGTTTCAGGGTTGTGTCGCAATAATAAGCATGACGTGGATATTATCGGTGACACTTTTCTCTATTCTTGTGTTACCCCGGGGCGGCTATTATTTCAACTCATCGGGGATGGTTGCCTGCGAACCTTTTTACTCTCAAGCAGCTATCAGGATTTTAGCAGCATGCGGTTTCTATTTTCCAACGACAATGATTCTCATGTACTGTTACGGCTCTGCTTTTCATGTGAATAAACTTCGCCTTAAAAAGAGTGGATGTAGCACAATAGCAAGCCCCGAGGACTGTGGTGGAGCTAGCATTGAAAAGGTAAGTTTCTTTTAGATTTTTCTTTGCGAGTGAACGGGTTGCCTACATTCAAATACTTTGTCGCAAACTTCTACTTTAATAATAAACAAGGAAACTTTCATCCGACCGAGTTCGAGGTTGCTGTTAAAGTTAATATCCCTTGAGTGTATTTGACTTTGAATATCAATCTTGTGTACCAAATACCAGAAAAGTTTGTAACTCAAGTAAGGGAGTATCGCATGCAAAAACCAAAGATGTAGGTATAATTCCCAGTGAATCTATAGCGAACTGTATATCTCAATAATATAAATCAATTAAGTCTCGTTTTTGGAAGAAATCGAAAAAGCAGTGTTATGAGAAAGTATTGGTTGCCCCCCAAAATTAAACTCACAATTACTATAAAACTATAATATATTACGACAAAATCAATAATTAATAGATTGATTTTTCGTGGCCACGATCTTTGTGAATTAATTAATTGCTATGGTTTTCGTATAATAAAATAAAAGTAAAGTAAATTGATCCTCATTTGGCGTGGAGAACGTTAAATTTAACATTAAAAAATACACACGAAATGAAGACCACAAAATTATGTACCACTTGATAAGAAAATATTAATCCTGTGATCGCAATTGACCACTGAAGAAAACATGTCTTATAAGTATCATTAGCTATAATTATCGAGCGAATAGTAAGCGGCCATAACCAATAATAATTTTAACTCATCTGTATAAAATCCCTGATTCCAATCTGAAAATTCTGTAGTAGCGATGTATTAAAAACGTCTTGAATTAAAAAAATTAATGCTGCCATTATATGAAATTAGACTGCCTCTTATGTCAATGGCGGTAAATCGGATGTTCATAGCGGTCTCCGAAAGTTGAAGTTTGAATTTTGTTTCAATTGCATTAACGAAATCGATTATCCAGCTTTTACATTAAAGCTTAGTGCTTCCCCGTAATTAAATTCTGAACTGTCTTGCACCGTTCTAATTTAACTCCCAAACTACCTATCGCCTTCATTCGACTTCTGCATTTTTTATTTTTAATGGAAACAGATGCTGGGCATATACTTACAAATTTAATTTGCATCTAATTCCATCTCGATATTTGCAAGGTATTCAAAGGCAGGCGGATTCCTATACCATTCCTTAATAAAACGCAAATCCATTATTCAGTATTTTAAAATTAAAAAGATCTGGTCGAAATTGGAACTGATATTGAATTGCCAAAAACTAATCTAATATTTAAATTCGCGCAATTCGGGAACAATTCAATTTCGGCTTGCGCCAGCAATCCAAATGATATTGAAAGTATTTAACTTTGTTTGTTCGGCCATTCGACTGCAGCAAGGTGATATTTCCGATTGATGTACATGAAACCTTTTCAACCTGCATACTAGATGTGCAGGATTAAAAGTGAGTCTTAGGAGTATTGAAATTGAATTGCAGATTTACTTCTGTAACCTTTGACGCACCTTCTTCGCTACAATGTATCCGTGTATATCATGGAAACGGCGACCCTTTATTCGGCAAAATTGAGGTTAAGCTACCAATATTTTTTGGCTATAAATTAAAGGGTTACTGGTGATACAACATACTGCATTTCTAAAGTAAGCCACTAGGTGGACTGTTTATTACATGAAGAACAACTCATTAATATGGAAATTTGCCCATTATACTGTTGTATTGAGATGGAAAATGCGATGCGCTGAATGAGATAAGTTGTCCATCAGTTCAAGGTATTAAATCTTACTTAATCTTAATGCATACACAAATTTGTCTCCACTCCATGCGTCGCAATACAGAGCTAATGCGATATGATGAGCTTCCACAGATTTTCTACGCTTATCATTTGCGATTTGCGTTTAACATGGAGCCAGCGTTCCTCATCCGAGGAGCACGCCCCCAGCAGTAAACTGAAATAGAAATACTTTTACAAAATTTTAAACTTATTTTTTTATACAAAGTAGGAGGCATTTGTTTTTAATTACGTTTTTAAAAAAACTAAATTGAATTGCAGTCAATATCTTTCCCGGGAGAAAAAATATTGCTACTCGTATTTCACTTCGTAGCTTGATACCCTTATAACGTGATCACAATCTTTGAACAATTACAAACCTGCAAGTAGTGTCCTATGTAAATTATGTATATCGTGTTCTGTTTCTCAATCTGGATTTTTCTAAGCTATAGACTGGTTCACTTTTATAAAAAACAGCGTTTTAACAGGTTCTAGGGGCATTTCAGACAACATTTGGCCAAATAGGCGTTTTTTACTAATTTGGACCTGCTGAACACGAATATCGATGTTGGCACCTCGAAATCTGAACAGGAAGTCCAGAATTCAACATGGCGGCCAATTTCCGAAAATGTTGATATTTTCACTCATGCGACCGATTTTTTCGATCTAAAATCGGATTATAATGTTATTCCTGACGGAGGTATGGCACGATAATAATAGTGAACAAATGTTTAAACAATGATTTCATAGTTTTTCTAAAGCCTAATTTACATTTGGCGGAAAGTACTTTCTGCCAGTAAACTTGCTACCCTATTTCTATTTAACTGGCACTTTCCGCGCATTTACACGTGGCAAGTTTACTGACCGACAGTACTTTCCGCCAGTAAACTTGCCAAATGTAAATTAGACTTAACGTCAAAGTGCGTAAAAGTGGATTCCTTTTTTTCATAGTACTATGGCTACTGTTTAAATTTCTTCACATCGTGTAATTATTAAATTATTTCTGTTTTGGCAAGAAGAATTTCCTTTAATTAGAGGAAGAAATCTTGTCGCATCACCTTGAAGAGGCCTCATTTGACGGCGTACTGGTGATTGCGAGAGGCTTCAATAATGAAAGAAAAGTTTTCTGTAACCGTCAGACGACACAGATTTCCTCCTTAAAAGCTTTTCACTTCAAGGAAGGAAGCGGATACTAGAAAAACGCTACAGATACAGATGCATTCCTGTTGCTTCTTCATCACTTCGAGATTTCAGGAGCTGCGAAGCTTTAGATCTAACAATTCTGAACTCCATTCTCTTGCGATTCCATCTAATCTTCTCTAGCATTTCATCCTTTTCCATCATTACGGCATATCAGGCGTAAATCTCAAGATGTACTTTTTTTATCTTATAAACTATGAAATGTCGCTCAGACTACCTTATCTATCCTGAATTGAAAATAGCTACATTCCCATTCTCCCAACGTTAGGTTAGATTAATTCCGAAGGCTGCTCTAGATATCGTCCTTTGTCGTAAATAGGATTGCTCGTCAAAACTTTGTAAAAATATCGCAAAGCTCAATTGATTTGTACTACCTAATTGTCAATAAGACGATTGACCTAACACCATGAGAATAACGAAGGTATTTGTAATTTGTATTCACTTTTCTATATGCTTTCATCCTTTAATAATAATAATATATCCTGAGGAACGGTAATTAATACCTAGCAAAATCAGAATCTTCCGAAACACCGCAGTATAGTTGAACTCCCTTCATTTTTTTCATTTAAAAATTAACGTAAAATTCGAAAGATTGTAGTTATCAAAACTTTGTAAGGAGAATTATGCAATATAAACGCATGTCGGGAATACTTATATGTGTCAGGATTACTGGAAACAATCGTTTTGCAAGTCCTCCTTTTAGCAAGGGGAACTGGGAATTTCATAATTCTTAATTTTATGCATCCCGCATCCTCCTATTACATTATTGTTAAAACAATAGTTAACTATTATTATCGTGAAGTACCTCAGGAATATCATTACCTATAATCTGTTTTTAGATCGAAAAAATGGGTCGTTTCTAAGGAGGAAATCTGTGTCGTCTGACGGTTACAGAAAACGTTTCTTTAATCATTGAAGCCTCCAGCAATCACACGACGCACAGTAACTAAAATGCTTCCCAAAACAGAAATAATTTAATAATTACACGTTGTGAAGAAATTTAAACAGTAGCGATAGTACTATGAAAAAAAGGTTTCCACTTT